CGTCGAATGAGATTTGAGCACCAAAGTACTCATTCGGCAAAACACCCAAAACCAATGCCACAATCAGATCCTCACTGATCATATCTCTACCCAAGTACTTCTGAGTGTGGACGTTGATAGTGTTCCGGGCAGACTTGAGGTCGCAAAATAAGACTTCCAGGTTAGGAAAATCATTATTCGCTGTCGAGATCAAATGGCCGACCAAGGTCTTAACCGTGTTGACGTTCGACTCCCCATAACGCTTCTCGACGGCGGCCCAGAGTAGGTGCACGGGCTGGTCTTCACCAAAGGCGTCCTTGAATTGCTGAGTAAAGGCGTTGGGGAGGACCTTGCTGAGCAGACTTCTGATTTCTTAAACTTGCTCAGATCGATAGTGGGAGTACCGCCGTTGCTCAGATTCGTTCGCGCCATGTACCACGGGGGGCTCGCCAGAAAGCCAGTCTTCGAACTTGATCTTCGGCTCAGGTCGGCTCGTCTGATTAGCCAACCATAGGCCAACCTTTGCAGTGGTCAGTGCCTTGAGGTGCTGTACGAACTTCTGGGTCCACACGCGGAAGCCTTTCTTGTTCCCGTTGAAGACCAAGAGTTGGATGTTGGGGTCCTTGGAGTTGGCAGCCATAGTATCGTACTTGAAATGTTGAGTAGCAGCGGTTGGGCAGCAGTGAGGGCTCAGTTTAGAGAAGAAACTGGAATGACCAAAGGGCCTGCAGAATCAACTCGGCACATCCTAGCCAACAGATATACATGCAAGCCACTCATGTATCTATGGTCTCAATTAGTGGTGGCTAGCCACTGGGGACTAGGGTTGCAGGTTGTCTCAAAGTCACTGTCCAATCACTGATCACCATGTCCATGGGACATCTAGTGACATACTCATCTCCATACAATCTCTCATATAAGATCATGTATACTTTAGCACTATACAAAGTGAGCATAATAAGTATACTACGCATATCTGGTTTAACCGGATATTCTCCCGTCTAACACATGGCAACTACCAAGTGCAGCACAAGGGTTTCTTCACCCATAGATTAATTCGTAGAATGTCATCTGAATACCATATTTCCCTCATCTCCCGGGAAAGGCGCGACGCAGGTTAGCGATAGCGATTTCTCAATGCATACTGCACAACGGTCACGAAGCTCTCCACTCCTCATAACAACAACCAATAATACTATCTACAACACCTTATTGCATGTCGCCTGAATCAACAACTGTAGAGAAAGACAACTTCGAACTTGCCAAATTCATCGTATTTCAAGAACAAGCGTGTACATGCAGGTAAGATGCCTTATGCCTGAGAGAGCTGTGCATGCGTAGACCATGCTGCATAGGCTGAGCTAGTAGTGGGCTACTGTATCTTGTAGTATCAGTAGCATTGCGCTAAGTATTACACAGCTCGAGAAAAGCGACATAAAAGTTCGTCCATTTTCGACATAACTTATGCGCATGTCGACATGCCGTCGGAGTACCACAAAACATGCGCAATAAAAATATATCATCCGCAAATGTAATGCAGTGCCCGGAACTGCTCAGGAAACGGAGTACAGCAGCCAAAGTCCCTCTCCAAGAAGTTTAACACTCTAGAATTTGCTTTCGCCATCCAAAAATGCCTCGCTTTTGGCCTTACCGGTACATAGATAGTACTAGCACAGTAACTTCGTGTTAGCACAGTATATGATGAGTTTTCGTCCCTAATTTATAGAGTAAAAATCTTCTCATCAAGTTGTAAAGGTAATTAGGATATGCAGGATGAAAAGCACACCAACGACTTTTGCACCACTCAGCTCGTGTCATGTTGGCAGTCCGTCGAGTTGCCAGCCTAGCTGTCGCGCGCGCCTCTGTGGCGACCAAGAACGCTCCTACATTGAAGAAGTCCAACCGATTCGCTGTATTTCCTCGCCGTAACTTCAGTGAATCGGTACACTGTTTAGGAAAGGAAGCGGCATTCCATTGACCATTACTAGGCGAAGCCCAACTCGGCAGCCCATGGCGAAGCCGCTCAGACGGATGCCATTGTGTTGACCCCGTACCAAAAGGTTGCTGCTGGTACCCAAGTGGGCATGTGGACCGCTGCGCTTGGTTTGGCCAGCGTGTGTGGCTACTTCATCGTGCGCGAGTTGTTCCCTGGGTACAGTACTCATGCGATTTCATTTTCGACACCCTGCTCAATGTTTGACTTGTAGCCGCATGAGCCCCAACTCGCTTTTCAGTGAAGCCAGTGACATTTGTCTCCAAAACGACTTGGTAATTACAACTTGTAATGCCAACTTCCGAATGTCGGTGTACTGTAGGTCGTTCAACGCTTGGGCCAGCCTATTCGGTGCTACGGCAAGGATTTTGGTAGCCACAAGGAAGGTCGTCGCAACTTTATCGAGCACGTGGAACTCAACGACAAGGAAGGCAACAAAACTCGCTTGCGGTTGGTGATCCGTTGCATACAGTATATACTTATGGCATTGTCATGGCTGGAATGTATATAGCATCAAGTTCAACTTGAAGGGACCGAACGGCAAGGCCGAAGCGTGGGCAGAAGTGAACAAGGACATGCCGACGGGCGAGTTTGTGTACTTGATCGTGCGAACGTACACAGGGGAGCTGATCAAGATCCAGGATCAGCGCCAGATTCTGCAGGCCGACTCGGAAGAAGAGCGAGAAGCCATGCGCAGATTGCTTGGGCAATAACTAGGACGACATAACCCTCTGTTGATATTGTCCTACCTACCCTACGTTCCTTCGTCCGGTTCCTGCGATGCATATACATCACCTTGCAACTCCACGTTGAGGGTAACGTTATAGGAAAAAATAATTGACAATCAACAGTAAATACAGAAAATAATTTATTGCGAAGCGCATGGCAATTACAATTCTATTAATAGTAGTAATTGATTGTCGAGATCCAAAAATAATTAAATAATTTTACTTAGCCATATATTATCGTAACGTTATCATTTTTATCGAAATTTAATTGTTCATTTAAATAATTGACAATTCGACAATTAACGTTATATATTTAAATGCAGCAAACAATACAATATTTGTTTTTACTCCGGAAAATTGCTAAAAAATATGTTTTTCCCATACCCTGACCACGTTACCGGTACTATCATTCATGGTTTGCTGCTTGTCTGGTGTTGAGGGCTCAATGATAACCTCGCTGAGTTGGAAGCGATGGAGGGTGGATGTGATAGGAGGGGGCGAGTTGAATCGTATGGGACGCGGTGGCATCGTGGTAAAACCCGCGAGGCATTGGATCTTGTTGCCGCAGCAGACGGATCAAACTTCGGATCGGCGGCAACCGCTGGAGGAATGGCAGGTGTCTCGTGGCGGCCACGACGTCTTGCCCGTCCGTATACGGCAGCAGCATATTCGGCGGGGTGAAGGCTGCAGCTGCAGTGGTCGCATGGCCGAGCTTGAGACGCCGCAGCTTGCTGTCTCGCTTGCGTTGGTTGGCGTTTTGCTTGTCGCGGTGGTACGCACACAGCGAGTGCAGTTTGCCGTTGGGCTTGACGGTGCGATGATTGGAGCACTTGCCCACCGGCGCGTACATGCACAGGTCGGACAGGTGGGGAGGTTTGGGAACACGCTTGGACGGCGGCGGCGATGTCGCCGAGAGGACGTCTGTTTCACGGCGCATGATGCAATCCCCAAATGAGATCACTCGACGATGGTGGACGCTCAGAGGCTACTTCGAAAGTTAGCGATAGCCGTAACCGACGCGACCCCAGCTCTTGGCTATTTATAATTTCGTCTTTGTGAGTGTTCCGAGCCGTTTCGCGTGAGATTCAACAAATAGACCCCATTTGGGCCAGAGGCCATGCGATCTGCACAGAATACACTGTGGAGGTATATATAGCTAAAGAGAACTCGAAGACAAGAGAATCATAAGCGAGAACTCACACGAGTGACGACATCTCGTCAGTTTGCACTGCCATAACTTCTGATTGTTGTTCATGACAAACACTAAGGGCCGCCAGTCTGGGAACTTTTCAAAAATAATATTTTCCATTTGCTCGCAAAATGAGATTAAACCAAAAGGCCATTTTCAAAATAGAGGTAAAAGGTCCATTTTGTATTTATAACCAAAAGGCCATTTTCAAAATAGAGGTAAAAGGTCCATTTTGTAAGATGGCGTTTTGGACCACTTTACAGTTAACGAGTAAATCCCACGTGGAATTATTGGATTTGGCAAGACATTTCAATTTTGATCCGATTTGTTGAACTCGGCCCTACTTAACAAGACATGTAGGTGGCATCCGACATCAAACCGACAAATTTGGAGCCGATGATTGGATAACCGACAACGTTTTGAATTTTGATTGGTCAGATATTTTATAGGCAATCTGATTGGGCGATGTAGTTGTCGGTTGAGCAACATATCACTCACATATAACATATACAGCTTGCTATTGGCTGAAAACACAGTAGTATCGACATCCTCTGGAACACATGACCTCGACTCAGCATCCCATTAACAGAAATACGTAAGTGGAGCAGAGCTCGACAAACAAGGTGACGAGTTTTGACTAGTACGAGTAAGAGAAGTAGCTGCTGTGCTTGGTGTATGGATGATGTACTGTACATCCATAAACAACATCACTAGACAGGCCGCACAATTGTCCACCGACCCACACGGCATGTTCATCTCTGTGAATCCGTAGGAACGCGGTGATGCCAGGGCCACTGGACTGGGGCACGAAGCAGTTTGTCAGTTCCGGTGGTTGCGTTAAACAACCTCTTAACAACTTCACTGACACACGAAGTCGCAAATCGGAGTTATGATGGACAGTACCTACGACATACTTATCGACCTTGCTAGTGAAACTATACATCACTCGTGGCTATTCATCGCTGAGCCGACACCACTTAAGCTCGCCAACCTGTCGTTCCCGACACTGTGATCACGTTGATGTACTGTGCAGTCACCAGGCGAAATGGCCGTGCCACAGTTGGGACGTGTGCCGATGGTAAACTCACGAATGATCAGTACACTGCAGCACACTGATATTGGTGTGGCCACTAAACCGAGGGGTCACGTCAATTGGTGACGCGACCCAAGAGCAGTCGACCACGCCACGCTCTTTTGTCCAACTTACCGCGTATCTTAATTATGGTGTCTTTAACTGTACCCTTTCTAGATTCCTCATTGGAAATGCAAGCGATTGCAACATCGCTGGAGGTGACAGGGTTTCTGTCCCCATGCCTCCATGAGACACAGCAA